GGGCAGTGGAGCGAGAAGTGGATTCTGTTTAGAATTATCTGTAAGTTACCCAAACAGATATACACCTGATAAAGACCGGAGAGCATGACGGCCAGAAGGTTTTGACAACAAAAAGAAAGTAGAATATTCATAATAACAATAATGGGAATTCCTGATCCCAAATCCTCGGCTAGAAATAATCTGCTTCAAAATCTTTTTCAGAAACTGTTACAAATATGTTAGATAGTGCTAAAACTACAATTACACACACACACACACACACACACACACACACACACACACACACACACACACACACACACACACATATATATATATATAAATAAGGAACAGTAAGATATATAATCCGGTGTTCTTATAGATATTTTTAGTTTTACAAAATAGTGCTCAATGTAAATTTACAGAGCATTAATATTATAAATTAATTGATTTAAAATATGTTTTTTTTTTCGCTACACAGTTCTAACCATCAAAAATGGAAGCTAAAAGCCCCGAATTTAATGTTGTAATTAAATTAAAGATATTATAGTTCCATTTCATCCTCAAGTGATATATATATATATATATATATATATATATATATATATATATATATATATATATATATATATATCCAGGGTGAGATGGATAAATTGTAGTGAAAATTATGCAAAAATCAAATTTTGAAATTTTTCTTATTAAAATGTAAATTTATTCGATAAAATAGCAATTGGATTTATTGCGAACCGCTGTATGCTTTGAGATATAATCCCGTGTGTGTCGTGAAATGCCCACAACAAACATGGCAGACCCGGAACGTGAGTCCACATAAATAAATGTAAGGAAACATAAAGAACAAATATATATGTACAAGCAAATGATAATTTTTTAATCAAGGGTTACAAGTGACAAAGACAAATATTTGTGTGTGTCAAATGAATGTAAATACCTAACGGTCTAATGTATGTGTTGAGATTGAATTCATTCATACGTGTGTGTATATGCATTGTTCATGCTTTTTCCAAAGTGAAGCGTGTTCTCCGCGTGATGCTTACATGACAAATAAGCAGAAAACGTAAGAACAGGCTGAAAATAATTATCGCAGACTATTTATAGTGCCAGAGAACGTCCCCAAGTAGCGGTATTGAAAATTAGAAATTGGTAGACAGATTCAACCACAGCCTCCAGATGACTTCGGAAGCACCTGCAACTCTTCTGGATAGTCTCCTTGTATAAGTTGGTGAATGCTGCCGTAAACCTTGCCGTCAGTTCATCTTTGGTGTTACAAAGAGGTTTTGTTGGTCTATCGCTCAACTGCGCCCCACACATAATAATCAGGTGGGGGGTTGCAGTCTGGGAAGTTAGGTGGCTAAAGTTAAGCAGAAATTGTCTGAATTCTTCTGCTTGTGTGTCATAGTTCAGATTTGTGTTGTCAGATATAGGGTCTTCTAGCTGCAACTCTCTTGACTAAGGGCAGCACTACCTCCTCACAGCACTTGATGTAGGCACCCATTATGAGTCTGAAGCGCTCACCAACAAATTTGGGGGTTCTTTTCTTATCAGAACTATTAGAGTGTGATTTCCGAGCTACTCTAACACGGTAATCACCATTAGACTCATCTAACTCTTTCTGAACCTTCTGAACTGTCCTCAGCTTGACACATAAACACTCTGAAATGTCGGATTGAATCTTCCGGCGCGAAGGCAAATAATCGACCCCCAAACTGGGAAAAATCTATGAATGTATAAAGATGGATATTTATAGTAAAAATGCTAGCATTAAATTTTTGTAGAAAATATTACTAGCAATACATTTTTTGAAGAAAACATTACCAAAAATAGACTTGTCTCTCGACAGAAACACTCTTTATAAAAATACCTCAATGAAGCCTGACCTACAAACTGATTTCTTACATAGAATATATATTCTATTCATACGAATCTATCCGAAAATATTGTCGGCATTAAATAACACACTGAGGTTGATATATCGTAAAAAAAATAAACTAAATCATCAGAAATTAATATCTCATGTTTATCTCTCCTTCTCAGTGATAATGTTTCATGTTTGAATACGGCAATCATGTCTCATCTCTTGCAAGAATTTTTTTGCTGTTTTCTTCGTTAATTTCTCACCTCTTCATCACTGAAGAACTACAGTGTTCTTCGTACCTCCTTCAGGAGCCAAAACAAAAATTCTTGGATAGTAACCACACCAGCCACTTTCAGTGAGTCTGTCAGTGTCATAGAAATACACGTTACCAAGACACTGCTCTAAAGTTACGTTTGCAATATTGTTATTTCTTTCAGCTGTAATATAAGCATCATTCTTTTTAGTCTCATCTTCACTCAGAGCAGAAGTTTGCCTGCTACTGTAGGGCCTGTTACAAAGATCAATTCTTTTTTCTTTAGGATTGCTATTAACTCTTCTGATCCATTTAATTTCTGTGCTCACGTAAAATACATTCTGTCCATGAACATTCATTAAACTTTTTTGAATATCTGTAGTAATTTATACTTACGTCTACATCACGTTGAAATACAAGTTCCCGCACGATCACCGAAGTTAAGCAACGTCGAACCTGATAGGTACCTAGATGAGTGACCGCTTAGGAATGCCAAGTGCTGTACGCTCTTGGATTCGCTCTATTCATTACGAACAAATACACCTAGGACTTGTATAAAAACACGCGCATATACCCCCCACCTATGGGTTAATTAGTAGCACTTGTATAAAAATAATTGTAACAACATAAAAATATTTCTAGCTTTATATTAACTGTAAAGAGTCGATAAACCGTAGAAAACGAGTCAATCAGTGTAGGAGACAATCAAACTATGTATGTCTAAACGGGCGACCATTTTTAAAGATATTTACGGATAGAAAAGGTCAGGTTCATAAAATTTTGATTTATTTTCTAGACGCTATTGTTAATTCGAAAAACATGCACACACACTAGGAATTTTGACTTAAACTTTTAATATAAGGACAGTATCATGTATCATTGTCTTAAACTAATTATGATATTGCTTTTTTATTTATACTATTTACTCATACTATAAATTCATACTATTTATTTTGGTTTGTTGACGCCATCGTTGTTGTTATCAAAACGTTTCGACCATTTTTTTAATTCATGATAGTTTTCTGTCTGTGCAACAACTATTGCTTTGCAATACTATTTAGCTTATGGCACGAATTTGACCAACTGACATATCTGCATTAAATATAAAAAGTTGCACGGCCATTACAGAGTGAGCTACAGTTCTACTAATATCCCCATCCTTAGGTTATCTGACCATTCAAACAATTTTGGTTCTCCACAACATTATTTATATCAGCTATGCATTATAATATAATGCATGACGCCAAACCATTTCAGAAATATTGAAAGTGCCAGCTATATACAACCGCTTTCTAAGATCAATGTTTGCTAATGGCTCTGAACGATTGAAGCCTGTCGGTCTTGGCGAAGATCATCCTTCATCGAACCTTTTGGATTGAGGATACAGAAATACAAAAAAAAAAACTGTACCAGATAATAGCACGCACAGGATTTGAGGACGTTCAACAGCAGTACCAATCAAAATGGTTATAAAATGTAACACGAAGATAATGACATAATAATGTTTTTTTTATTATTCCACGCTACTTCAAATAAAAGGTAGGGAGGGAAACCTCCATTAATAGAAAAATAGTGATATCAGCTACTGGAAATATTTCCTTAAGAAATTGCTTTAAAAGAAAGCTTTTATAAATAGCAGCCAACGGTAGTACTGGCCGCCCGGTCAATGAATACCGAATGTTTCCTTACAAGGAAATGGATAACGTCAATGCAGGCTGCTTTTCTGAAGTAAAGCCGCTTGATCTTTTTGCATATGTATAGGGCTTGTTTAGTTGTTCTTCCTTGGACGATGAATTTCACGGGGAGCCAACCCTGACATACGAGTGTAAAGCCTCCCACAGCTCGGACGACTTTTTTTGATGGAATGAGGTTGTTGGTAGTGAGCCCCATATTCAGAAGGTGCTTAAGTCCTCCGAGACATATGGTGGCCCCACTGTCAGGAAAGATCGTCATTCTAGTGCTGTGATTTCTGGGGATATTCTTAACTTATCTGGGATCCGGTTTTGGTGGGAATGGAACAACATATGCATCAATTTCCCTTACCTGGCCGGTGTCTTTAGATGTATACGTGCCCGTCGTTTGATTGCATGTAATGTGGGCGATAAGTGTGTCCATGGCGGCTTCATTAGCCTCTGGGCTTTTCCTTACCGCTTGAGCCAGTTTCTTAGCCCGGCATACCCTCGATAGGTGATTGGGTTTCCACAATTACTACATTTTTGTCCCCATGCTGGGCATTTTAGCCGGCGGGATCCAGTTTCTGAGGTGCCATGCTGGTCGCTTTAGCACAATGAGATGCTCCATGGCACCATAAATAGCTCTTTCTCAAGGTTGAATTATTATTCACTTAGCTTGCTCCACAACTGAGTGTTTATCTCGACCACGTGATTTTTCTACATGGCGTTGTGAACAGGATATATGACACCCGAAGATTGGGAACTCTTCTTCATTGAAGCAGGCCTATCCACTGACTCGGTCAAAACTCCTGCAACAAGGTTTGCAGACGAGAAACTGACAATCGAGAGCCTTCAAATGCTGGATCGATCCATGCTTAGGGAGCTCGGAGTCGCATTAATGGGAGAAGCCCTGTGTATCATCAAGCAGGCTAAGGAAGCCACCACCCACATTCAGGCACTAGCAGCCAAGCCTCCCCATCTCAATCTCGAGATGACACCACAGAAATTCAGGAAGTTCCGAATTGACTGGGATGTCTTTACCAATATGACAAATATGCCAAGCTCCCGAGGTAATATTCACTTATACAATTGTGCTGATGAGACTGTGCAAAATGACATAATCAACACACACTCCGACTTCTTTACCACCGATCCACATAAGCTTAGAAGCGTTTGTCACCCAGAGGTCAAGTCCTATTGTCCATCGCCTTGCTTTTGCCTCCATGTCTCAGGATGCGGATGAGCCAATCCAAAGTTACCTTGTCCGCCTGAGAGCCGTAGCTGTTGATTGTAACTTTACCTGCCCCTCGTGTGAGCATGACCTGCCTGATATATACATCAAGAACCAGATCATCCGTGGAATAGCAAATGACACACTCCAGGCTGACCTGCTGGCCAAAGCTGGGGCAGTTAAATCCCTTGAGCAAAATATCCGTCATGCTGAGGCATTTGAATCAGCATTGCGAGACCAAACCTCAATGGCTGGCGCTTCATATACAGCAGCTGCTCGGCTATCAACATACCGCAGACAGAAGGGTACGCCACAAGCCAACAAGGGGATCCGTACCAGCACCTATTGCAACTGCAATGTTAAATCAAACCACCAGGCTTGCTTAGGTTGTGGAAGCCACCAGCATGGCATGTGATTTTTCTACAATTACCATTAACATTACCATAGCTTTGCCTGGGAAATATATTTGATTGCTTTCCAGTTGCCTCCAACACAGGTTTTGCTGCAAGGCTTGAAAGCACATTCTACTCTACGATTTAACACACAAGTGTAGCAAGAAGGATTCATGTGGTTATCTAGGATATTCAAGTTAAGCGCTAATTTTTCCATCCGGGATTTTATTTCAACCTGTCGACGTAAGAAACTAGTATATTTTGTAGTGTCACAAAATATTGTGAATAAACATTCAAGTTAAACTTTCATTATTAAAATGGATCTATCTTCGCATAAAAGAAAGATCCGATTATAGTGAGTATCTACTTCTGGAAATGCCATTGTATGTACATACTTAAAATTCGGTTTCTTTGATATTCATGAATCCAACAAATGCGCAGCAAAGGGGAAGATAGTTTGAATATTTTCTAAGCATTAAGATTGTAATAAAGACCGCAAGAAGAACGCCTTACGGCTGATTAGGGAGCAATCAACGGAACTTCAATTGGAGGAAAAATGAACAAAGAATAGAACAATATTGTCCAATCAAAAATGTTCCATAGTAAAACCTATTCTGTTTTATAGATTCATTTTGTAAATTTCATTCAAAACTCTAGAGATTGATTTTCTTTTTCCTTTATTTCATTTATTATTCAGAATAATATGTTCAATAATTTTCTCTTGAAGGAGGAATTATTTTTTGTTCAATCGAAAATATCCCCTGGTTATAAGAAATTTCCTATAACTTAATAGTATTTAAAATCCTCGGGTAGATCCAGAAGGCAGTCGAAAATATAGAAATAAAAGTAAACAAAATGGGGATATTTAAGGGAACTGGATTGTGCTGCAACATTTTCAGCACAATTTCGTAATTGGATGGACGGATAATAGTTCAGGTTTTGTCGGGTTCTAAATTCACATAACCCTAATGCCGTTGAAAAACATATCAATCCATTCTTGGGCACCTCGACGTGGTGTAATGTTTAAGAAGCTTGATTCCTAGATCATTTATGATTGATTAGTGAGTTCGATCCTCACAGGGTGCCCCCTACTTTCGGCCATGTGCCACATCTAATCTACGCTTGGAAAATCACTATTAATCCATTCTTCTTTGAACAGGGTAGACCATATTATCTATCCTTGGTTGCTAACCAGTCTAGTAGAATGTTAACTCTGAATACAATGCCGTTGTACGTGGGACAAGAAACTCCATAACATAAAAGAAACATAATAATGAAATGGTAGCAGTATAATCACGTGCATTGTTGTTACTTCCACGCAGAGATTATAGGCTCAATCAGTCAAACTTATTTTTTATACAGGATGCATAGGTCAAGTGACAGCAGCTATTAGAGAAAGCATATCTCTGCTAAAATTAAAAAAAATCTAACGAGGCATAAACATTTATACATATTTTCGTGACAAGCTTCATAAAGGATTAATTCAATATATCTACCTGCGACATCGACATCTGCTTTGACACGGAGATCAAATAAGTTGGGATGTCGGAATCAAATGGTTTTTGTTCATTTAAAATATTGTTTTGATGGTTGCAATCTTTAGAGGATTCTTGCTATAATGGGGATTATTGATGAACGTCTCCTTCTCTCTCTCTTTCTCTCTCAACTCTACTTCAGATGATGTATTGAAGAGAGTTAAGATCAGGCGAGTTTGTAGGTTACATGATAGTCCGTACATCATTGTGCATATTGTGAACCATCCATTCTTGCGTAACTTGAGTTTCTGTTGCGTACATTGTAGCTGCATTAACTAAAATAAATTTTTAAAATGTAAGGTGACATTGCATGTTTTATGCAACTCACAGCAATAAACAAGAACAAAAACGATAATTCCGTTATTGTTTAATTTTTTTCGATTTTTTCCAGTGAAACCTGACCCAGTGCACATGTTAGTATTTTGTTTGTCCATTCCACGAAATCGTTCCTTGAAGAGTGACAAAAGATTCTCGACTGGATTTAAAGCAGTAGAATTTCCGGGCCAATCCCTGATACTTTGATTTGCTCACTGGTAAGGCTTGCCTGTCTGTTCGTGTAGCGTTACAAATTTTTGTACGCTTTCTTGGAGTAGCGTGCATCGCAGACAATTGTCGTAGGACAACTAATCGACAGTCGAGGCAATAGTGTCTGCGTAGGATGAAAATCTGATGCA